TGCCAGTACTGGCAGTAGTGGCTAGTCAGTGCTACTGCTAGTTCCACTACTAACCCGGTCAGGCTCTACCCTAGAGTATAGCTCTATATTACTACTACTCCTAGCTAGTTCTACCATCATGAAACCCTCTAAAGCAGAGAAGAAAGCAATAAGAAAGGAAGCAAAATTAAAGAGCGCATTGATGACACACGAAGGAATATGTACGTCTTCGTCTCCTACGAAGGTAGGTTTTTACTTCTCAAACTAGTTTGTGTCAGATCGTTGTGGTGTCCAGTGCGGCCACCGGTTAACTCGACCCACCCGCCTACAGCTAGGCTACAGTGCTACCCCTACCTCTGCCTTAGCTCTAGTACTATAGCCCGCGTACAGTTGCGCGCAGGCGCCTGCGGCAACTGTACGCGGGCTATAGTACTAGAGCTACCTCTGCCTCTGACCACTCCAGTCTTGTTAAGCAATTGAGGTTACATTGACAATAACAAGTATCATGGTTTCGCTGCGCTCCACTCTTTCGCTAGGAAACAAGTTTTCTAGAGACTTCATAATACATAATTTTAATGTATTTAATGATCTATATAATATATATATGTAGAAAAAACCCGTGATGTACATGAAAGTCAATGCCAAAGCTCTTTCCTATGATCAAGAAAGGAATTACTCACTGAAGGGTACAGCTAGTATGGAAAATTGGCATGCATGACGTTTGAATTACCAAAAAGTTAGCATGCTCCAATCCCAGCCTCATGACCTAGCACCTTGGCATCAATTATTCCTCTTCTCTCTCTGATATGCCTGCAATCACATTACATAAAACACATACATACAGAGTGAATTGATAACAAATAATCTAGCTTACACCATGAGAATTTTGACGATTTAATATTGACTTAAAATAATAACTCAGTCTTAAACATTGTTAATTGGTTCTTATTCATGCACATGCTTCTGAATACTGAAAATCATTCAAGAAATTGCTGTTTCTTTATGTCAATGGTGAGATGACACATGGACAGCAGCTATGCAGCAATCATATGTACTCACTTTGCTCCATACCTGTCCACCCTACACACGAGTCTTCATAACCAGTAATGATGTGTGAAGTGTCAGACGATCTGTGGGAGTCTGTCGAGTTCTGGCTGACACAATGCAGACTGGGAAACGTGTAAAACATTGAGGTAGAGTGGCAAAGTTCGTTATTTCTCAGCCACTGCAGATCCATGACACATCTGATAGGATCAAAGAATGAAAAACAGCCGATGCCATATTCATAAATCCGACGTGGAACCAAGATGTGCAGTCGTCGCACGCCACGGTAGCGGCCACTGGGCGCAAGGCCCAACTGGCATAGCTTCAGCCATCATCAGAGTGTACTCAGAAAGGGCCTTTAGAATGGCTATAGAGAAACCATGGCAGCAACAACTGCGGCTCCTGTATGAAGATTTTCTAATCCTGTGCCTCGGCTTGAGTAGTCGGCCTGGAAAGAATCACGTCTGTTTAAACGGAATGACCTGAGCCGCTGGTAGAATGTCCCTTAGTGATTCAATGCATATAAGAGACTGGTAGATCAAATTCCTTTCTGAAGTCCAGTATGGTTAGGTCAGTCTGCCTTCACTCATCAGTTGACTCTCCTAGTTCATATGATGCTGTGAGCAGCTATCTAGATATGTGAGATCTGTGATGCTGTGAGTCTTTCAACTATATATGTTGTGGTTTGAACCCATGCTGCTCAACCATTAGTGTGTTGAATCTTTCTATGTGCTTCGTGATGTTCCTAATGAACACATGTTCTTGCATCGTCTTCTTATACACCGTGTTCTTGTATCCCATTATTTTGTGAATCAGATATCAATTTGACAGGTTAAGAGAGCTACGCTGAGATGCCTGAGGTGCTGCTGATAATGGGGCTGCATGCAACTTGAATTGCTGTTGGTGCTGCTTGACATCTCATCTGCTTGACAGGGCATCCAGAAGACGGCTACTTGACGGCTGATCCAAGGTGACGTGTCCTGGGCTCCTGTCTTGTCCTGGCCTGCTGCCTTGTCCTGGGCCTGCTGCCTTGTCCTGGGCCTCCTGTCCTGCTGTGGGTCTTCTGTCCTGTAAGAACATCAAAGACAACATAATTTTAATGTATGTCGGTATGTATGTAAATTAACTTTTAAACACGGAGTCCAGCGGACTCCCTACGCTCAAAAAGAGGGAGTCGCCAGCAAAATGAAAGAGTCCGCAGTCTGAAGTCAAAATTAAAATTGTTTAATTCTGGCCGTTTCCTGTAAATTCCGTCCAAATCCTCTATGACTATGTGCAACACACGCTACCGGCCGCCATTCCTCACGCGGCTGCACAATGCACACTGACACTATATATATAAGTGTCAGTGTGCACTGTGCAGCCGCGTGAGGAATGGCGGCCGGTAGCGTGTGTTGCACATAGTCATAGAGGATTTGGACGGCATTTACAGGAAACTGTCGGCAATAATAGGTGAAAAGAGAGTAATGTATAGAACATTAAGAAATTGGTAATAAATAGATTTCGTATTTATTTAGCATTATATTTTATTGAAACGCTTCAAGTGCCTGTGATCTCACACAGTGATCATGCAACACGTACACGCATGATTTGCGCAACGGTACGCCTCAGCTGATTGCCGAGTGCGTGTGTGCGTGAGAGAGAGAGAGAGAGAGGAGGGAATATGTGTATGTGTGTGTGTAGGCCCTATGCGTGAGAGAGAGAGAGAGAGAGAGAGAGAGAGGAGAAAGTGAGAGAGAGAGAGAGAGAGAGAGAGAGAGAGAGAGAGAGAGAGAGAGAGAGAGAGAGAGAGAGAGAGCTAGAGGTGTGTGTGTGTGTGTGTTTCCCCGCCGGCCTATCTCAAGGCCTTCATTTGACTTACTGGGCAAATGGGGACCAATAGACTTCAGAATGAATGACGTACGTGACAGCTAGCTCCCCATAGCTACCCACAGCCTCCCTATAGCTATAGGATACTAATTAGGAGGGAGCATCAGCCCGACCAGGCTGTGCGACGGATTGTCTATACAGCCTGACACCCTTCCATACAAAAAACCTATCACCTCTGCAGATCTAGATGAATAACTCTGTATATCTCAAATAAAACCATTCCATTACCACCTTTGACTTGCCTTGTTTAAAATATGAACATTAACTCACAGTTGTCCTGCTTCTAAACTAGAATGTATCTCTTAATTCACGGTATAATCTGCTAATTCTCACAGCATATCAACTTTCAAATCAGCTTTACCCGCCATGTTTAGCAAGGCACGGAAAACCCAAAACGGAAAAGACTCGCTAAAAAATACTACAGAAATAGTACGATGGCTCTCACGGCAATTACACACCAAAGCAAGTGAAACGATGTTCACAATTAAATGTCTTGGCCATTTGTAAAAGCCTTAGATGACATGTTCTCGGATGTTGGGGTGGTTTACATGAGGACCGCAGATCGTTTAATTTCGCTTGTTCGATCCATTGCGGATTTTAGTCACAGTCGGAATGATAGCAAACATTGCGGCGAATTCATAAATGTTGTTGCATTCGTCTCAAAAAGTTGCTGTAACCCGTAAGTACCCAGCGCATCGTAGCGCACTGATGGTTACAAGAAGGTGACGTTTACTGATTAATTTGGTATATCACATGTGTGGTGTTTTTTGGCGATACTTGGAATATAAGGCAACTACGTGTTTAGCTGCAGCCAAGGTTTGAAGCGGTATTGTAACCCTAGCAATACCGTTTCTTGGAGCTAGAGGGAGCATCAGCAACTGCCTGGTGCTGGTAGTTCCAAACTGAAACTGTCCTGGGGAAGAAACTAAACTTGAAACTGTCTTGCTCTCTCATTTTGCTTGCTCACTCCCTCACTTTTCTACTTCATAAATATTATTATATGACTGACCGACACGGTGCCGTGGACATGCTGGCTTAACTAGAGACCATCGAGTCGACTGACCAACGTCACCAAGTCAAGTGCCATGCCTTAACTAATGCTAACTTTATCATAGGGCTATGGTGGAAGCTTACCTCGTAAATGTGAAATGTTTAAAGTCTCTCCACTTTTCATACCGAGTATCATACAGCAAGAAATTGATTTAATTCGTTGTTTTGTTCTATGTTTTTAAATTCACTGAAACATGAGGCATGAAGGCTGACATCTTGGATTTCTTTCCCATAGATGGGAACCTCATCTCTTCAATCATTTACTTTACTTTGACAAAGTAACTGAAAACTCATCTAACTGCCGCTATCACGTGACGTAAACCTGACGTAACGTGACGTGCCAAATAGCCGTGATATCCACAGGCACTGAAGCATATCACAACAGTAAACATACGCGCCGCCATCGCGCGTACACTGACACATAATATATTAAGGCTGTTGCTCCTGCGACGGTACCGTCGCCGAATTTTTTCTCTTCAACTCACGGTAGTGATGCAGCGCCATCTATCGGCGAATAATAACTACCGTTGCTTTGGTACGATATTATATATACGATTTTATACGATATATACGATAACCCTAACCCTAACCCTAACCCTAACCCTAACCCTAACCCTAACCCTAACCTAACCCTAACCCTAACCCATACCTAACCCTAACCCTAACTCTATTAAATTAAAAATTTAATTTTTAATTGTTGTAAAAATTAATTGTTTGTTATTAAAATGTTGTAAATAAATAATGTTAATATTTGCGTTAATTGGAAAAAAAATGTTAAACAGATAAAGATAGAAAAATACAGAAAACAGGAAAATAATTAGAAAACGGATGGGATTCGATCCCGCGACCATTCATACTTGGGGCAAGCGCACTACCCGTTGCGCTGCTGCCCACATTATTGAAATTAAAATTTTGGATGTGCTATGTATATCGCAAGAAAACAAGCTCAACCAATCAGGCGTCAGTACCGTCAGTACCGTGACTTTAAAGAGAAAAATAATCGGCGACGGTACCTCGCAGGAGCAACAGCCATATATTAAGCAGGTGCGAAAGCGTGCGCCAGGAATTCGCTCGACGCTCGCTTGTCTACACACGATTTCAACACAAATACTCAACCTTACGACTCCATCTTTGCTCCTAATTGAAGTACAGTGCTTACTTGTTGTAGAAATATTCATGTCTCACTTCGCAGCAGAGCTGTGTCACGCAAAATCACGAATTAAATCATGAAATTCTCGCGATCTCTAGGATTGCTTGCGCGATGGTTACACATTTAAGTACATGGCGGAAGGCGGCGCACTGCATCTTGGGTAACCACAACGTTGCTTTCCGCCTCCCATGTGAGCCCCGTCAAAGCGCGCAGTGGGGCGTTGCTATAGATACCATAGACTGGACCAACGTTCGTTACCTCTGTACGTTTTCAAGACAGTTACATCGGAGTGTACAGTCCATAGGTACAGTCTGATAGTTGGAGCGTGGAGCGAGTCGAGTCACGCTCGCCGGAGGCGTGATTTTTTTTCCTAGGTCAATCAAGAACATAGGGCTGTAATGAGCGCTGCTATTGGTTGAGCTTGTTTTCCCGAAATATACATAGCACATGCAAAACTAGTATTTACGATATGTCTCGATAGCCTAGCGCGTATAACGCTGGCGTCAATCTGCGACAAGTATGAAAGGTCGGAGGATCGAATCCCATCGTTTTCTAATTATTTTTCTGTTTTCTGTATTTTTCTATCTTTATCTGTTTAACATTTTTTCCCCAATTAACGCAAATATTTACATGATTTATTTACAACATTTTTAACAGCAATTAATTTTTACAACAATTAAAAATTAAATTTTTTCTATATTTGTTTAAATAGGGTTTGGGTTAGAGTTAGGATTAGGGTTAGGGTTAGGGTTAGGGTTAGGGTTAGGGTTAGGGTTAGGGTTAGGGTCACAATTATGCAGTGAATGCACCATAAAACAGGAGTTAGAGGCACGTGATTTGTATCAACCAATGGCAGCGCTCGTTAGAGCCCTATGTTCTTGATTGACCTGGAAAATACACGCTCGCCGGAGGCATGCTGTTCGAAAAATGACGTCACGATTACGACCGGTAGGGGTCTCCAGATCTCGAAATGTGTAACCATCGCGCAAGCACGCTAGAGATCGCGAGAATTTCATGATTTAATTCGTGATTTTGCGTGACACAGCTCTGCTGCGAAGTGAGACATGATATTTCTACAACAAGTAAGCACTGTACTTCAATTAGGAGCAAAGATGGAGTCGTAAGGTTGAGTATTTGTGTTGAAATCGTGTGTAGACAAGCGAGCGTCGAGCGAATTCCTGGCGCACGCTTTCGCACCTGCTTAATATATATGTGTCAGTGTACGCGCGATGGCGGCGGCGTATGTTTACTGTTGATATGCTTCAAGTGCCTGTGGTGATATCCATGATAGCCGTGTTTACAATCGCACATGTATTACAGTTTAGTGAGTTTACGGTCTAAGTAATTATAATCTATGAATGATGATTGATGATACTTCGTGGTAGGCCCCGTCTGTGTTCTCAATCTCATCATACATGATACAGTACAAATCTGGGAAAAGTGCGCATGGCAACTCTATGTCTAACTTAGTTAGTGCCAGTACTGCAGTAGTGGCTATAGTCAGTGCTACTGCTAGTTCCACTACTAACCCGGTCAGGCTCTACCCTAGAGTATAGCTCTATATTACTGCTACTAGCTATAGTTCTACCATCATGAAACCCTCTAAAGCAGAGAAGAAAGCAATAAGAAAGGAAGCAAAATTAAAGAGCGCATTGATGACACACGAAGGAATATGTACGTCTTCGTCTCCTACAAGGTAGGTTTTTACTTCTCAAACTAGTTTGTGTCAGATCGTTGTGGTGTCCAGTGCGGCCACCGGTTAACTCGACCCACCCGCCTACAGGCTACAGTGCTACCCCTACCTCTGCCTCTGACCACTCCAGTCTTGTTAAGCAATTGAGGTTACATTGACAATAACAAGTATCATGGTTTCGCTGCGCTCCACTCTTTCGCTAGGAAACAAGTTGATTTTTTTAGCTCACCTTGACATCGTCAAGCTGAGCTATTGACATGGTCGTCGTCCGTCGTACGTCCGTCCGTCCTTCCGTCAACATTTGGCTACGGTCAACGATAACTCAGGAACCGTTTGACCCACATGTTTGAAATTGGGTATAGTTGTTACTGCTATGGAGAGGTTTGAACGTTCTATTTGGAGCACGCCAGTCGACGTACTTTCGAGCCACGGCAATTTTTTGGCAAAAATGGAAATTGCCATATTAGTCAGTTCAGGTTCAACGGATTTTGCTCATTTTTGGTATGTGAATGAATAAGGGCAGGGGTTTTTAATACTTAAAAAAAATTATGCAAATTAGGTAGGTTTTGACAATTATATAGCATATTATATAGACACGCAGATAACACTCTGTGGTGTCACATTCGTCTGGTTCGTTTTACAAGATTTCATTGACAATATCTTTAATGCGAAATTGGTATTTCTCTCCACCCTGCCGATAAAACGTCTATATTTAGAGTAAAGTTTTACAAAACATGTCGAACGCAGCATAACCTATTTATTTCAAACGCCATCGCTAAAACATCAAAGCGGGTATATAGCGCATCTACCGTCACAAATTGTGATTCATTTTGGTTTATAAATTATTATTGCGATATACAGATGGCAACCCGTGTGCTACCCGCTTAGAAAACTCATACGAAGTAAACACTTCCATGCAACAATTAACCTTTGACAAAAGTTGTGTTTATGGGCAGAGAAACACCATTGGTCACGTGGTATATAGCAGCTACATGGAATAAGCGTATCCTCTCAATCTTACACGTTACACATCGGGAGCTCCGCTTTTAGGCAGTGCCTAAATCTGAATATTATAAAAACGTTAAATGGCGATCATTTAGGTGTAACGCCATCACTTGCCCACATCTCAGACTTTCACATCTCAAACTTTATTTTCACATAAAAAATTACACATATAATTATCAAGAGTATATAATGGGAGTTCTCCCATATATATACTCTTCGTTTCTATAATGTACGTCGATGGTTGCTCAATTAAAACTGACTTCTTCTCACTCACTCATTTGTGTCCTTTTTCGTGGTGAGCTACAATGTCATTGACACTTTCATTTAAAGTAACATCACTGATTGCCCGGCATAAGATGTTGTACAATACAAGTGTCTGTCACTATGCATGTTTACGTATGTACAGTACGTACGTATACATGTGTAACAGTTGATTTAGAGGAGTATGACATGTCTGAGAATGGGGAATAAGACGTGCATGTATATACATACGTATGTATGTATGTATGTGTGTATGTGTCTAGACATCACCCCACTAGACAATGATAATATTGCATCCAGTATTTATCCGTAATGAATAATTCCCCTTTCTCATTTGAATTGTTAGCATCTTTTCGTCGCAAACGGAGGCTTGGTCTGTGGTGTGAGCAAAGAGCAACTACTCGAGATCTTTCAACCGTATGGTGAGGTGTCCAACGTTGTCATGGTGCCCGACAAGCCTCATGCTTTCATTAGCTACGTAGATGTAGGTGGAGCAACACGTGCCGTCGCCTGTGCCCAGGGCTACGATATACGCAGTAGTGGAGCTCCCGGGGCCAAGCTTCACCTGCTGTACGTTGAAAAATGTAAGAGCTAATTAAGTCGTGTTGATCGTAGATGCTTCCAGTGTGTGTGTTTACTCGCCTGTCTAACCTATTATCAGTGTCTGTCTGGACATCTCTTCTATCTCTATATAGGCTATATATATATTTTTTTTCTTTCTGCCTGCCTGTCTGTTTGTCTGCTCATTCGCCCGCTTCTATGTTTGTCTATATAACTGCTTGTCTGTCTGTCGGACTGTCTGGCTGGCTTGCTGGCTGTTTGTATATCCAGTATTATTTCAAGGTGAATAATAGATATATGATAGAATAATCTAAAGAATGATATATGACGAAATGTTCTCATTTGAAACAGTGCCCGATGTCATTTCTCCGAGCAATGATGGGATGGTGCTGCCACCTGGATTGATTTTGGTTCACGACATCATATCAGAGGATTACGAACGAGAACTTCTCGCTGCCATCTGTTGGGAAGAGGATTTTTCTACCCAAAAAGGTTTCTGCAGTACAAACGAGGGTTAGCGTATGCGATCATTCGATTGCAGTGTCATGAATATTCACGTATATTTAACGTTATAACGTAAGCGTAGGTTATGGAAACGAGTTAGAGGGGCTCAGGATTAAGTTTCATGGACTTTACCGATGGCTTACACTATACTCCCGCCTCAACCAAATCCTATTTCATGCTTTAGACAGCTGAACTAAAAACGACAATTGCACACCAGATCGTTTCACGCATTTGAGATGGTGATATGTGCGTGTGTTTGCAGCTCAAAACAGTCTTCGACATCGACAGGTGAAACACTTTGGCTACGAGTTTCGCTACGACAACAACAACGTTGACAAGGACAGTCCGCTAGAGCAGCCAGTGCCTGCCGCGTGTTGCTGTGTGCTGGACACGCTGCGAAACCTCGGACATCTGCACCAGGAGCCGGACCAGCTTACCGTGAACCAGTATCTACCCGGTCAGGGTACGTGTTGGTAGCAAGTTGATGATGTAATACTTGCAGATGTACCGATGGCAAATTTACAGTTTGCACGTGGCTAAATAAGTTTGCTCGCGAAATTCCCTGGCGACATTTCCGAACCCCAATGTTAACCGGAACCTAACATGACTCTAACCTTAATGATAATCATAATCTGAACCCTATTCATAAAATTAACCTCAACCTTAACCTAAAACCTAACCTTAATCGCACCCATAACCTTAGTCTTAAAGCTAACCCTGACACCAATCCTAATCCCACTGCCGACAGAAGAGGGGGAACGAAAAACGTGCGTCAATCGGGATTATAAACACTCTATAATAAATATAGAACATATTTGATAGCATAAAGTATAATACAAATAAAGCAAAGGGGAAGGAGAGGGAATGCAAATATGCGACGTGAATTGATTGCCAGCGTTCACGAACGGCGAGCGTGCGTTGACGTGACGTCATTTTCTCCGTTCGCATCACGGCAGGTATCCCGCCGCACGTTGACACGCACTCGGCGTTCGAAGATCAGCTCGTGTCGCTCAGTCTCGGATCGGCCGCCATGATGGAGTTTCGGCGCGACGACGGGCGCCACCTACCGGTCGTGCTGCCGCGACGCAGCGCCATCGTTATGACGGGAGAATCCAGATACTTGTGGACGCACGGGTGCGAGCTCATTGTTTACCTGCCTGTGAAGGAGAGTCAAGCTATGAGGCGATATTGAATAAGAAAATCTTTTTATGGTGGCCCTATCTGAATATTGTTAATCTTTTATGAACCAGTTTTTACAGTTAACGTGATCGATGGGTTATCACTTAGTCCCAGCTGTTTCACACAAGTTTCACCGTTGTTGGCTTCCCTTGATATGGGGCCCTTCATTGTTTGCATTGTTCGTTTCAAGTTCATTTTTCATTTTTCAAGTTTGTTCATTTCAAGTTTCGTCGTTGTTGGCTTCATTCGCCATGATGTTCTTCTTCCTCAGCATCACGCCGAGGAAGACAGACGTGGTGCCGACAGAGAGCGGACGCGGGCTGACGCTGCAGCCGCGCGGGCTGCGAACATCGTTCACGTTCCGCAAGGTGCGCCGGACACCGTGTGACTGCGGTAAGTGTGGCGGGGTGCGCAGCCATGTCCGATACGATATTATGTCCGCCACGGCTGCTGCGCTGGTTACTCCAGGCTCTAACGCCATTGCTATATATATATATGTATATATCATGTACTCACAGTTTATGCTCGTAGGGGACAAAATAGATTCTGAAATCTCAGCATGAATTTGTACGTGTCATCTGTACTAGTGTGCATATATAGTGTTCATATAGTGTTCACTAGACTATAGTGTTCATAACCAGAGGCAGAAATGGGCAGTCTCGTGGTACCAGGCTGGCTCAAATTTTAACCATTGTTTTGCTGAAGTGGGGGGTGCTCATGTGAGTATACTTGCGAATTTTGCCTATATTTGTCTCCATTTCAGGATATCCAGACCAGTGCGACTCACAGCGAAGCGCTAGCAGGTAGGCTACTCTTTTTCGCGATGCATAGTCGAGTTTGGTCAATGCACGTTTACTGTAAGAATAAACAACGTGCGAGTGTGCAGATGATTGTTGCTGCATGAATCATCCCATTATTCGGTATTATCATATTATCCCATCATGCTTATTTCTCACCGTACACGCGCAGGGTTGCCACTGACAACACAGAAGATGAAGCTCTCTCCAAGTCGAACCAGGAAGCTGCAGAGCTGGAGTGTGCACACGTACACCAGGTGAGATGGCTTCAGCATACACACACGCATCGTACGGCGACATTCACGATACAACACCAGCCTACGAACAACGTAACAGCAATTATGATTATACCTCCTCGCACAAACGTGTAGAACACTCGAAGTCACACTCGTCGACTCTCTGACCCAAGCCTAGTTTAGCACACAGGCGAAAACACATTTACGGGATCTGAAACTATCCTTGATCCAACTCTCTTTTACTTTGTTAGGTGTACGAGGAGATAGCGGGACATTTCAGTGGAACTCGGCACAGGCAGTGGCCCCAGGTGGCCGAGTTCCTAGCCTCACAACCTCGAGGGTCTCTCATGCTGGACGTTGGGAGTGGAAACGGCAAATACCTGGCAGGGAGCGAGCACCTCGTCAAGGTAATCACGCATAAGATCGCATAATATACAGCAAAATACACTCGCATTATAATACAGGTAGAAGTGTAGATGCATCGAGTCAATGCAATGTAACCTCGGTTTGAAATTTCACAATTTGTTTAACCAACAAAACAAGCAAACGAACGAGTATGAAAATACAGAAGGCAGCTGTTTTAAGTAATAGATACAACATTAATGTAATTAAAAGTTCAAACAACTTTAATGACTGTATGGCTGTCTGAGTGCGTCTCAAACGATGAATTTACTTGTTCTCGATTAGACCGCGATGCCATGAATGCATCCGATGTGCCGCGACCGATGCAGTGTTATAAATCGTTGTTGTAGGTTGGCTGCGATCGCAGCGGCAACCTGAATGAGATCAGCAGGCGGCGAGGTCACGAGGTGTTTGGCTGCGACTGCCTGCGCGTCGCCGTGCGCGCCGCCACCATCGATGTCTGCCTCTCCATCGCCGTCATCCACCATCTCTCCACGCGGGTACGCAACGCCTCGCCGCCAACCTCACCATTAGTCTTACTGCAGCTAGTGTCTGTCTAGTTGGTTTCTGCGTTTAGTCTTGCTGGTTTCTTATTATTATTCCTCGATTTTTTTAGGTTATCATTCCCCATATAACCTACTGTAATCTACTATGTACTTATTAACATACTGTGGCACTTACCTCACTCCTGTTCCCTGGAGTATGAACTTTCTTCCACAAATTGCTTCCAGTCCTTCCCAAATCCATAATAAATATCTATGATCTATAAATCTATAATCCCTAACTCGCGATCGCATTTCACACACAGTTGTCCCTCTTTCAGGAGAGAAGACTAGCCGCCATTGAGGAGCTGATGCGAGTGCTGACCCCTGGTGGCAAGGCTTTGATCTACGTGTGGGCGATGGAGCAGGAGCGTGGCGAACAAGCAAAGTCTAGTTACATCAAGAAGAAGAACGCGAGAGAGGGAGAGCGGCCCGGCGTGCGGAGCGGTCCGGGAACGACGGACGCCGCGTCAGTGAACAGACGCGAACCCACGACCAGCTGTGACGGGATGGTCGGTGAGACAGTGACCGGGAACACCGGCGACGCCACGATGCGTCGACGATCGACGGACGGACATCCGGGCGATGACGGCGGCTCAGACGAGGTTCCGCGCAAGCTTCCCGTTCACGTGAACAGGACGAACTTCAAGCACCAGGACGTGCTCGTGCCCTGGCACCTGCGCGGCGGCCGCCCGCCGCCCGTCGCCCCCGGCAATGACAACGACGAGCAGACGCCGCCCGTCTTTCATCGATTCTACCACGTTTTTCGCCAGGGGGAGCTGGAGGCGCTGTGTGCGAGCGTCAGCTGCGCGAGGACGGTGAGGAGTTTCCATGACAACGGCAACTGGTGCGTCGTACTAGAGAAGACTCGCGAGGATTCTCCTCCTCTCTAGAAACAGATCTCCCTATAATACGAACTATAATATATGTATATAATATATATATAATATATATAGAACGAGTCCAGTCTCCCTAGTCCAGTCCTTCCTTCCGACTGAGAAGCTGCCCTGGAAGAGGCTGTTCGTGATGTGTTTGCCCCAAACACATTCATAAGAGAGAGGAGGTGAGGGGTACGAGTGGGAGAGAGTGCAAGTGGTTCGATCGATGCAACATCGTAAAACTGTTAATCATCATTACCTGAAAACCCCCCAGTACAATTATGTACAGGTATGTACAGGTATGTACAGGTATGTACAGGTATGTACAGGTATGTACAGGTATGTACAGGTATGTACAGGTATGTACAGGTATGTACAGGTATGTTGCGAGTAATTGTTCATGACTGTGACGACAGGCGAAGAAAGATCGCCGAATAAAAACGGCTGAGTTTTAGACATGTTTGTTCTTATATTTCATCCATATGTTCATATTTCTACAACGCTATTCATAACATTTGCAACAAACACGGTGAACATAAATTATAATCATTTCATCCAAAACAATGATGATGACCTACACGTTGCATCCATCGAAGAATCGTATATGATAAGCGCGTCTGCATTTGATATACTTTATACTATAACGTGATCACAAGCTGTGCACCGAACTAGTAACACAACAACACCGAGACAAAATAGACTACTAAAGTAAATATAAATAACTTCGTCAAGCGTCATTCCTGTGTTTGTTAAGTGTCATAACTCACGCTATATCGGATGCACAACGTATCGAAATGTGGAAATAACCAAGGAGTAGCTTGGTACTAGCACGACTGCACTACTTTGGAGAAAGAGCAAGATGAGTTACTGCTGGAGAAGGAAAATTCTCAATGGGGAACGCCATTAGACAGTTAGCTTACTACGGGAGGCTCCATTAGAAAGCCATTTATTAATGCAGCAATGTTGTTAGTGACGCGCCTAACGTTTCGTGAATCGATCTCGGCGTGTGATGCGAATCAAGCGCACCTTTTCGTTCCACGATTCCTCGCGTATTCACGAATCACTGCACTGCATGAGTAAAATATGAATCTATCAGTCTAGTGCCTCTGACCCCACTAGTTCCTTGCTAACTCACTAAGACTGTTCGTGCCTTGGTCGAGTTTTGGAGCCCATTGTCAGATATAAAATTAGTCTTGACATTGATCTTAACATTCAGGGGCGTGTACAGGGGGGGGGGGTCCGGACCCCACCCCCTGCTCGCGCAGAAAACGCATCTAAGGGGGTCTAATTTCAAAATTGTTCTGACAGACCCCCCCTTCGCGTGCTCGCAAGTTTGGGTTACGGTTAGACCCCCCCTGGTACAAATCCTGTACACGCACCTGACATTGACTTGAACCTAACATAAACTCGCAGACCGGACCTGTGCACACTGCGTATGAGAGACGCAGAACTTTACCATGTTTCTGTCAACAATCTGTGAGGAAAAGTCAATGATAAGATTAGTGTTAAAACCAATTTTGTTTCTGACAACGGAGCCTTGGCTGTTTTTCCCTCGTTACAGAAGATCACGTCTCTGCTCGGTTTGTTTTACATCAGTATCATGAGCGCCTACAAAGCACAGCAACAGCTACAGAAATGTTGGAGTGATGAACCATCACGTGTCCTGCCTGCGTGTAAAATCACACACATAGATGGCGCGCATGCACGTATATACACTCACGCATGCACGTATATAATATTATGATCAGCAGTAAATAAATACAAGTGTTTTTTTACACGTATTTAAGAGTGTGATGCGCACGTTTTTACAAGTGTGATTACAACCAAGTGTGTTTTATTCACGTCTGGTACGATAATACACATAATCCTATAAATTAGATAGATAAACAATTGCCGACTGAAATTTCTTTCTGTCGGAGTTGCATAATAACAACTGGTAATATAAATCTCCTGCCACGAATGTCACCTACCCTCCCTGTAAGTGTCACACACCATGCACACCCAACTGCAGTCGTTACCTACGTAACTGTAGCCATCACCCCCTATAAAGAGATGCTACTCCTCTGTATGTGCGACACCACTAAGCCCACTGTAGCTATCACACAGGGGAAACACTCCCAAGGCTGTTCCCTAAAGCATGCAGCATACTTCACCATTTTCGTTGCTCGTACAGGCAATTTTCGTGGTCGCCACAAAAATGGCCAAGTGTTGCGGGGGCCGGCAACGACCAGTCGCCACGGAAATTTAGTGGTGACCACGAGTTGCCGAGAATAAAACCGGTTTGATTTCTCACCACAAAAATTGCTCGTGGTGGCAACTTGTGGTGAAGTGTGCGCCAAGCCACCACGGCAATCGGCAACAAAATCACTCGCAGACCAATCAAAATTAGCGCTGCCGTCACATGATTTCAAAATGTTATACAGTAGAACCCCTCTATTATGGACTGAACATTAATAGACATGATGGAGAGGTGCCCAGCTTAAAACAGGGTGTCCATTAAGTGGGGTTCTACTGTAACTTGTTTCATGTACATCATGTTGAGTTTCAAATATTTTATACTGGTATTTATTTTGTTAATAAATTTAATTATCAATAAAAAAATTGAAAATTTTAAGTTGTTTTAGAAGTTATTAGGCCTAGATTGATTCATCTACATACTATTAATAATTGTCTGGTATTTGGTAAAGCAGTCTGGAATAGGCTACCTGTGGGAAGGAATCGCAGTGAAAAAAAATTGCCGTCAACAGCACATGTCACCAGACTCACCACTCAGTGGTGACGTGTGCTGTGACGCGGCAAAGGGCACAAAAATTGCCGACCACGAAAATTGCATGTACGAGCAACGAAAATGGTGAAGTGTGCTGCCAGCTTTACATTCCCTTGTGGGATACGTCTCCCTACAGAAGACACTACCAAGGCCTTCCCCTACATGAGAGCTTCCTCTGTGGAGGGAGGTATCCCCTTATCCTCCTACAGGAGAGTTCCCCCTTTTGGAAGACGTGTCCCCTACAGAAGACATACCCCTATAGAAGGAAGAGTTCCCAATCAGGAAAGGTTCCCCTTATAGGAGGTGTCCCCTTACAGGAAAGTTTCATATGTGGGAGGAGGTGACACCCTACATGGGAGAGTTCTCTATTGGAGGAGGTTTCCATTTATAGTGGAGCTTCTCCTGTGGGAAGACGTATCCCTTCTACGTCGGACCAACCTCGAGGAGAGAAGCCATCACCCGCCAGGTGACGTTGCCCCCCCCCTCCCCGGCGGCGCCGCCTCCCCCGCCACTCTAATCCCTGTCCTTGTCTTTGTCCTTGTCCTTGTTCTCCTTCTCCAGGTTGACGCTCCAGCCGAGCACCTTGCGGTCGAAGCCACACGTGAACAGGTTGCATCCGGGCGTGACCTCCTTGTCAGACCACGCCGTCGCGCACACCATGCGCTTGTGGCCCAGCCGGTTGCCGCGCGGCAGACGCGCGAGTCGGTTACCGGCGAGGTCGTACAGACGCACGTGCCGGTTGTCGTGCGGTATCGCGATCACGTTGTGTGCGGGCGACACCGACAGCCTGCGCGAGACACAGAAGATAGAAGAATCACATGTAGTGCATGCATATACGAGACACAGAAGATAGAAGAATCACATGTAGTGCATGCA